TGTGCTCAGCCCTCACCCGTGTGCTCACACAAACTGTGCTCAACCGTCCCCCGTGTGCTCACCCCCACTGTGCTCAACCCTCCCCCGTGTGCTCACCCCCACTGTGCTCACCCCTCCCCCGTGTGCTCACCCCCATTCTGATCACCCCTCCCCGTGTGTTCACCCCCACTGTGATCACCCCTCCACCGTGTGCTCACCCCACTGTGCTCACCCCTCCCGCGTGTGCTCACCCCCACTGTGCTCATTCCCCCGTTCTAAACCTCTTGTGCCCCACCTATGTTGAACCCACTCTACCCCCTTTGCTTTGTGCCCCTTGACTCACAGCCCTCCCCATCGGGCTGACCCACTCTGTGCCACCACGTACTAAGCCCCTGTACTCACCAACCCTACGCTCACCTCCACTGTGCTCATCCCCCTGTGTTCCCCCCAGTGCTCATAATTTTATGTTACGTACAGAGCTCAACCCTCCCAGTGTTCACCGCCCCATTTGCCCCCCTCCACCACTTGCTCCCTTCCGTGGTCCCCCCAACCCACTCCATGTTCACCTCACCCCACCCCCTCCGAGACCGAGGTGGTGATCAGAGGCAGAGAGAATTACCTGAGTAGATGACTCTGCCATCATAGGAGTGTAACCAGGGTCATTGATCCCAGGCCCACTGGCATCCCTCCCTCCCACCCTCCCAGGTTTAATCATAAACTGACAGATTGTGGGATAGAAACTTGATCAGTTTCTTAAACTGTGTTTAACCGAAAACAAGAGAAGCAAAAAATGATCAGAGAATGAATTATTTACATGAGCAGATGACACCGGCATCAGAGGATTGTGACCTGGAATAGTGACCCCACTTTCCTGGACATTCCCTCAGAGCAGACTCACTCCCACTGCACCGAATATTATACAGCACAACGGGACCTGAGCCTTTCCCAAACTGAGCCACTGGTGCCGACAGCGCTGCTCCACAGCCCAACTCCTTACACACCACAGCCGCGTCCTTCATATCCCAACCATAGCCCTCAGAGCCATAGCCATACACTGTGCACCACTGACCTCCAGAGTAAACCTCCACTGTCCCGGCACACGGGCTGCCGCCATTCACCAGCCGCACACTCACACTCCCTGTAAAATATCACACACAGTTTTAGGAGTCTGTTACCCGTTTGACTTCCAGTCACACAGGATATTACCATAAAATGTACATGTGCAGAGCGTCTGTCACAGTGGGAGGGTGTCTGGGGGGTAAGCAATACAACATCAATGGTAAATACAGTGACGGTTTAATAATTATAATCCTTGCATTTGATATAGCGCTTTTCCCTTCACTGTACTCTGCCCCAAACCTGTGCTCACCCCCACCCCTGTGCTCAGCTCCCTGTATTCTGCCCCAGTGCGCACCCACCTGTGTTCAACACCCTGTGTTCCCCAGTTTGCTCCCCCACTGTGCCCCCAATTTGCCCCCCACCTGTTCAACCAACTTTTTTACCGTCCTCTGCTGCTCCCGTTCCCCACTGTCCTCAAAACACATTACTGTCTCCTGTGCACCCCTACCCATGCTTCCCCTACTATGTTCACCCCCTTGTGCTGATACCCCCTTGTGCACAACACTCCCCCCACCCTCGTGCTCACCACACTGTGCTCACCCCATCTTTTGCTCAACCCCCAATCTCAGCCCCGTTTTGTTCAACCCCACTGTGTTCACCCCCACCTATGCTCAACCCACCTGTGCTAACCATCGCTGTGCTCACCCCTAACCTCATCCTCCTCTGCTCAACCACCATGTTCTCCCCACTCCCCCTGTGCTCCCCAGAGTCCTCACCCTTCCAACTGGGCTCACACACCGAGTTCAACTGCCCTTTGCTCATCCGCCTCTCTGTGCTCAGCACACAGTGCACCCACATTGTGCTCAACCGGCTTTTCTCAACGCATCCCCCAACCCCACCACCTGCACCTACTACCCGTGCTCACCACTGTGCTCACCCACCTGTACCTACATCACCTTGTAGTCAAACTCCTCCAATGTGCTCACCCTCACCCGTGTGCTCACCCTCACTCTGCTCACCCTTCCCCTGTGCGCTCACCCCCATTGTGCTGACCACCACTTTGCTCATTCCCCCGTTTTCGACCCTGAGCTGTCCTTTCTCCCTCATGTCCGCGCCACAACTGGCACCGCCTTCCATCACCTCCGGAATATCGCCAGACGAAGGCACTGCCTCACCCTTCACGCTGCTGAAACTCCGGCCCACGCCTTTATCACCTCACGACTGGACTATGGGAACTCTCTCCTCGCCGGCCTTTCCGGCCCTCCTCCACAACTGCAGATCATACAGAACTCTGCAGCTCGTGTACTATCCTGCACCAGACACCGCGACCACATCACTCCCACCCTCGCCCTCACCCTCGCCCTCACCCTCGCGCTCGCTCGCCTCCACTGGCTCCCCATCCCCCAGAGGATCGAATTCAGGATCCTCATCCTCACCTACAAGGCCATTCACCGCTTTGCTCCCTCTTACTTTCCCGATCTACTCTCCCCCTAATTACCTGCCCATACCCTCCGTTCCTCTGGCTTCGGTCTGCTCCACATTCCCCGCCCCATCCGCCCTACCATCGGTGGCTGGGCCTTCAGGCTCTCAGCCCCTAGTCTCTAGAAATCCATCCTCTAGTGCCTTCGCCTTGCCTCCTCCACTTCCTCCTTCAAGGCCGATCTCCAGACCTTTCTCTTTGACCGTGCCTTCAGCTCCCCTCTCGACTCTCTACCACCTCCTCGTTCCCTCCCTTCCTTCCCCTCATCCTGACCATTTCCTCCCTGCTCTGGTCCTGACCCGACTGTCCAGCGCCTTGGTGCGCCCTCCCGACGTGAAAGGCGCTCTATAAATGGAATCTTGTTGTTGTTGTTTTTGCTGTGGGTTACTTCCCTCCAGTCAACAAAACAACCCTTGAACCCTACCCTCTGCCTTGTGTCTCCCAGCCAGTTCTGTATACATGCTGTCACTGTCCCTTTAATTCCCTGGGTTTATGTATATCATACATGTATTGCTGTTTCGTATTCTCTCGGTTTTGCGAGGTCATTGCTGGAAGCTATGTTCAGAATCGTTGGGTTTATTATTTGCAAACAGTATCAGTTTTTTTTCTACTGTCGCTCCCTTACAAATAATTGACGGGTGGACATGTATTGTTTGGAAACTGGCGTTATTTAGATTTGACCGACAATATACCTATCAACGACGATTTCACCCGGTGAAAGACGAGCAGTTCCATTGCAATGCAATCGGAATTTGAATGCGGGTTTAATTGATGTGTTGGTACAGATAGATCCCAAGAACAAATCTTCAAATTGTATGCATGAATTTCCTATTTCAAACAACGATATTGCCTGCTTGTGCTGGCACCGTCACTACTAGCTTCCAGAATATACAACAACAGCATTGACACAGCGTCTTTCTCGCGGGGTTGCTTCCAAAACATTTCACATATAGCCTTAGGTCATCCATCAACAGCAAACAACAACATGCACACAATGCGCGTGTGTCTCTCTCTCTATATCTGTGTGAGTGAGTCTGTGTGTGTCTCTCTGTATTTTTGTCAGTGTGTTTATACGTATTTGTCCTCTCTTTATAGCTGTGTGAGTGTGGTGTGTATCTCGCTCTCTGTTTGCGTGTCAGTGGGAGTTTCTCTCTCAATGAAGATGTGTGAGTTTGTCTGTGTACGTCTCTCTCTCTGTATCCAGTTAGTTGTGTCCATGTCTCTTTCTGTATCTGTGGATTTTGTCTGTGTCTCACTCTGTATCTGTTTATCTGTTTGTCTGTGTCTCTCTCTCTGTATGCGTATGTCTCTGTTTGTACGTATCTCTCCCAATGTCTCTGTCTTCCTCTCTTTCATTGTCTCTCTGTGGTTCTCTCCATGTATGTGTGCGTGTGTGTCTCTATGTGTGTATTTGTGTGTGTGTGTGTGTGAGAGAGAGAGAGAGAGTGTGTACCTCTCTCTCACTATCTATCTCTATGTGGCTTGGGTCGTCCTCCCAACGTGAAAGGCACTATACAAATGTATTTTTTGTTGTTATTGCTGTTGTATGTATGTGGGTGACTCTCCGTCCATGTGAGTGTGTATCTCTCACTCTCTTCTCTCTATCTCTCTGTCTATCGCTCTCTATTTGTGTGAGTAGTGTGTGTTAGTGACTGTGCATGTGCCTCTCTGTGTGTGTCCGTGTGAGTGTGCGTGTCTGTGAGTGTGTATCGCTCTCATTGGGTCCGTGTTGTGTGTGTGTCTGTGTTTGTCTGTCTCTATCTGTGTGTGTGTGAGTGTGTGTGAGTGCGTGCTTCTGTATGTGTGTGTAAGTGTCTCTGTTTGTGCGAATATGTGAAGCTGACGCTGGCCTGGGCTTGACCTGTCTCATTGAGGCCGGCTTTATGCTAACAGTTTGGCGTCGGTTTGGAGCTGTTAAACGATGTGCTCGAGTGACTCGTGGGTGGAGGTTGGGATGGGGGGTGTTGACGGTGATTTATAAGCAACCTGTGACTGTATTTCTCATTACAGACTTGTGCCTCTCGCTATCTCTCTGTGTCTTTGCCAGTCTCACAATTTCTTTCTCACCATCTTTCTCTCTTGTCTGTGTGTGTATCTGTGCGTTTGACTGTTGGTGCCTATCTTTCACACTATCACTGTCAGTGTGAGACTCTGCCTCTATTTCCAACTGTCTCTTTGTATTTGTGTGTGTGTCTTTCACAAACTCTATCTTGTCTGTCTGTTTGTGTACTTTGCTGAGTCTGCCTGTCTCTCTGTGGGGTTGTCTGTCTGTGAGTTTGTGTGTGTGTCTGTGTGTGTTCGTCTTTCGCTCTCTCTTCTTGTTTCTGCGTCTCCCTGGCTGTGTGTGTCTCTCTCTTTCTCTCCGTCCATTTGTGTGTGTGTTTCCTTTTCTGCCTCTGTTTGTGTGTGAGTGTGTCTCAAATTCTCTCCCTGCGTCTCAATCAGTGTCAGAGCCTCTTTCTGTTTCTCTCTTCCAGCACGCATGTCTCTCCAGGACGTTGTGTGTGAGTGGAGGGGCTTAAGGGCTGAGCGCAGACTCTCTGCCTGTCTCCCTGGTCCCCCGCTGTTCCAGTTCCCATTCCGCGAGAGCCTCAGACGAACGAATCCCCCGTCACCCGCTCACGGCACCACCACTCTCGCCCTGACCGCCAGCGAATGCGCCGTGTTAGCCGCGGACACTCGCTCCTCCTGCGATTCCCTGATCGCCAGCCCTGACTCTTGCAAGGTCGTGCCCGTCCACACACACCTGCTGGCCACCACCTCGGGCACGGCCGCCGACTGCGCCTCGTGGCTCCGCTGGTTGGCTGGTGAGTGCCGCCTGCGGCAGCTGAGAGACGGGCGTTTGCCGGGAGCCCGAGCGGCGTCTGGGCTCCTATCAGCGGCTTTGTCCCGGCATTACCGCGCACACGCCGATCTGTGCCTGGCCTCGCTACTCTGTGGGTGGGACCGGGGCCGAGCAGAGGTCTGGTATGTGTGTCACGACGGGACGCGGCTGAACGGAGAGGTGCTCTCCGTGGGCTCAGGTTCGCCCTATGCCTATGGCGTGTTGGACAGTGGGTATCGCCAAGGTATGCCCACGTCAGAGGCACTGGCTCTAGCACGGACTGCGGTGTCTCACGCTGCTCATCGCGATGCCTACTCTGGTGGCTGTGTGGATGTGTATACCGTAGGGCAGAGAGGCTGGGAGAGAGAGGGCAGGAGGGACGTGCATTGCGAGTGCGAGGGAGAGTGTGTGTGTGAGAGAGAGAGACAGTGTGTGAGACAGAGATAGAGAGGTAATGTGTGGGAGACTGTGTGAGAACATGTGTGACAGTGAGAGACAGTGAGTGATGCTGTGTGAGAGAGCAGTGTGAAGAGAGAAGGTGTGAAAGAGAGCTGATGTGCGTTGAAAGAGTGGGTGAATGAAGAGATTGGGTGAGAGAGATTGTGTGGTGAGGGGTGTGTGTACATGTGAGAGATACAGCGTGTGAAGTTGTTTGTTTTATTATTTATTAGTGAGAGTAAGAGAGCGAGTATGTGGGGGAGAGTGAAAGAGTATGTGAGAGAGAATTGTGTGTGAGAGAATTTTGTGATGGACCATATGTTTGTTAGAGAAAGAGTGTGAGTGAGACAAGGATGAAGAGTGAATTAGAGTGTGAGTTAAAGTGAGAGAGAGTGTATCTGAGGTTTGTGAGGAAGAGGTAGTGTGAATATGTTAAAGGGTGAGAGAGGGCAATTGTGAAATTGTTAGCGAGAGAGTGTTCTTATGAATCATGAGGGAGCACGTGTGAGAGAGTGCGGGTCAACATGTGAACGTAAGAGCGAGTATGTATCTGCTAGCAAAATGATAGTGAGATGGTGTGAAAGTGGGGAAAAGTAAGTCTGAGACCGCCCGAGTGAGAGATCTAGAAATTGAGTCAGATACTGAGCAACAGTATAGAGAGGGAGCCAGTGTGCGTGAGATAGAGTAATCAAAACCGAGAGTCTGCGGGAGACAGCGAAAGAGATGGAAGGAGAGAGTGAGACAACAAGCAACAGAGAGAGTCCAAGCGAGAGAAGTGAAAGAGTGTCACCGAGCAATAGAGTGGAGGTGAGTGATCGGTGAGAGGGGACATACAAGTCCTTAAAAAGTCTAAAATTATCTGCTTTGTGTGTCTTTGTCTATGTGTAATGTTATCCAGAATAACATAATATTGTAATCAGTCTCACAGTATCTACACTGTGTGTGTTTGTGTGTGTTACTCTCTGTGTCTGTATAAGTGTGTTTGTCTCTTTCTGTGTTGCTCTATTTGTCTCTTTCAATATCTATCCGTGTGTCGGTCTCTTTAACTGTATATGTGTGAGTGTGTGTGTGTGTCTCATTCTCTCTGTGTCTTTGATTATCTGTCTCTGTCCCTCTGCCTCTCTCTCTTTCCCCCGCTCTTTCTGTTTCTCACTCGCTCTCTCTCTCTCTCCCTCTCTCTTTCTCTCTCTCTCTGTTTTTGTGAGTGTGTGAAGCTGACGCTGACCTGGGCAATGAACTGAGTCGGGCTTTATACTGACTGCGTGGCATATTTTGGGAGTTGTTGGAGCATGTGCAGTGGTCTGTGGTGGGCGTCTGAAAAAGCGCACTTGACGGTATCTCTCAAAATTGACACACGTCTCTCTCACTCATTATCTCTGTGTGTGTGTGTATCTCTTTCACTATCTGCTGATCTGCGGTTACCTCACTCTTTCACTATCTGTGTTTGCTTTTCTCTTTTTCGCTGTGTGTGTATTTGTGTCTTTCTGTCCGTCTGCCTCTCTCTCTCTCTCTCGCTTTCTCTCTCTCTTTCTCTCTCTCACGTCTCTCTCTTGCTCGCTCACTTTGTGTGTTTCTGTCTGTCTACGGTCATCTGTGTGGTTGAATTTCTGCGTGTGTGTGATGAGGTGTCTTTCTCTGAGAGTCTGTGTGCATCTCTGTTTGTGAGTCTGTGTGTGTGTTTCTCTGCATGTCTTCGTCTACGCGTGTCTCTGTTTGTGTGTGACTGCGGTTGTCTCTTCTCTGTCTTTCTCTCTCAGTGTCTAACTCTCTCTCTCACTTTCGCTACTTCTCTATGTCTTTGTCTCTGTGTCTTCCTCTCTGTTTCTCTGTCCCTATGTTTCACTCTCTCTCTCTCTCTCTCTCCGTAGTTGTGTGAGAGTGTTTAGCTAATGCTGACCTGGGCAATGAACTGAGTCGGGCTTTATGCTTCACCGCGTGGTATAATTTGGGAGCTGTTGGAGCATGTGCAATGGTGTGATGGGCGTTTGAAGAAGGTATCTCTCAATATTGACACAGTTTCTCTCACTCAGTAACTGTGTGTCTGTATCTCTTTCAAGATCTGCTGAACTGTGTTTCCTTCTCTCTCTAAATCTCTGTGTATCCATTTCTCTTTTCCTTTGTGTGTGTTTGTGTCTTTTCTGTCTGTCCACCTCTCTCTCCCCTTCTCACTCTCTCTCTCTCTGTCTCTCTCACACCCACTCTCTCTCACTTTCTCTGTATGTGTGTCTCTCTTGCTCGCTAACTGTGTTTGTTTCTTTCTGTCTGTGCGTGGATTGTTGTGTGTATGTTCTTCGGTGTCTTTGACTCTTGCAAGGTCGTGCCCGTCCACACACACCTGCTGGCCACCACCTCGGGCACGGCCGCCGACTGCGCCTCGTGGCTCCGCTGGTTGGCTGGTGAGTGCCGCCTGCGGCAGCTGAGAGACGGGCGTTTGCCGGGAGCCCGAGCGGCGTCTGGGCTCCTATCAGCGGCTTTGTCCCGGCATTACCGCGCACACGCCGATCTGTGCCTGGCCTCGCTTCTCTGTGGGTGGGACCGGGGCCGAGCAGAGGTCTGGTATGTGTGTCACGACGGGACGCGGCTGAACGGAGAGGTGCTCTCCGTGGGCTCAGGTTCGCCCTATGCCTATGGCGTGTTGGACAGTGGGTATCGCCAAGGTATGCCCACGTCAGAGGCACTGGCTCTAGCACGGACTGCGGTGTCTCACGCTGCTCATCGCGATGCCTACTCTGGTGGCTGTGTGGATATGTACACCGTAGGGGAGAGAGGCTGGGAGAGAGTTGGCAGGAGGGACGTGCATTGCGAGTGCGAGGGAGAGTGTGTGTGTGAGAGAGAGAGAGCCAGTGTGTGAGACAGAGTTCGAGAGGTAATGTGTGGGAGACTGTGTGAGAACGTGTGTGACAGAGAGAGAGTGTGGGATGCTCTGTGAGAGAGCAGTGTGAAGAGAGAAGGTGTGAAAGCGAGCTGATGTGCGTTGAAAGAGTGGTTGAATGAAGCGAGTGGGTGAGAGAGATTGCGTGGTGAGGAGTGTGTGTCTATGTGAGAGATACAGCGTGTGAAGCAGGTTGTTTTATTATTTATTAGAGTAAGAGAGTGAGTATTTGGGGAGAGAGAATGAGTATGTGAGAGAGAATTGTGTGTGAGAGAATTTTGTGAGGGACCGTATGTTTGTGAGAGAAAGAGTGTGAGTGAGACAAGGATGAAGAGTGAATTAGAGTGTGAGTTAAAGTGAGAGTGAGAGTATCTGAGGTCTGTGAGGAAGAGGTAGTGTGAATATGTGAAAAGATGAGAGAGGGCAATTGTGAAATTGTTAGCGAGAGACAGTGCTTATGAATCATGAGAGAGCACGTGTGAGAGAGTGCCCGTCTAAATATATCAACGTAAGAGCGAGAATATTTCTGATAGGAAAACGATAGTGAGTAGGTGTGAAAGTGGGGAAAAGTAAGTCTGAGACCGCCTGACTGAGAGGTGTAGAAATTGAGTCAGATACTGAGCAACAGTACAGAGAGGGAGCCAGTTTGCGTGAGAGAGAGAGTAATCAAAATCGAGAGTCTGTGGGAGACAGCGAAAGAGATGGAAGGAGAGCGTGAGACACCAAGCAACAGAGAGAGTCCAAGCGAGAGAAGTGAGAGTGTCACCGAGCAATAGAGTGGAGGTGAGTGATCGGGTGAGAGGGGACATACAAGTCCTTAAAAAGTCTAAAATTATCTGCTTTGTGTGTCTTTGTCTATGTGTAATGTTATCCAGGATAACATAATATTGTAAAGAGTCTCACAGTGTGTGTGTTTGTGTGTGTCACTTTCTGTGTCTGCATAAGTGTGTTTGTCTCTTTCTCTATGTCTCTATTTGTGTCTTTCAATGGTTCTATCCGTGTGTCGGTCCTTTAACTGTATATGTGTGAGTGTATGTGTGTGTCATTCTCTCTGTGTCTTTGTCTCTCTGTCTCTGTCCCTCAGCCTCTCTCTTCCCCCCCCTTTCTTTCTCCTCCCTCTCTCTCTCTCTCTCTCTCTGTTTGTGTGAATGTGTGAAGCTGACGCTGACCTGATGCAATGAACTGAGTCGGGCTTTATACTGACTGCATGGCATATTTTGGGAGTTGTTGGAGCATGTGCAGTGGTGTGGTGGGCGTCTGAAAAAGCGCACTTGACGGTATCTCTCAAAATTGACACACGTCTCTCTCACTCATTATCTGTGTGTGTGTGTGTGTATCTCTTTCACTATCTGCTGATCTGCGGTTCCCTCACTCTTTCACTATCTGTGTTTCCTTTTCTCTTTTTCGCTGTGTGTATTTGTGTCTTTCTTTCCGTCTGCCTCTCTCTCTCTCTCTCTCCCCCTCTCTCTCTCTTTCTCTCTCTCACGTCTCTCTCTTGCTCGCTCACTTTGTGTGTTTCTGTCTGTCTACGGTCATCTGTGTGGTTGAATTTCTGCGTGTGTGTGATGAGGTGTCTTTCTCTGAGAGTCTGTGTGCATCTCTGTTTGTGAGTCTGTGTGTGTTTCTCTGCATGTCTTCGTCTACGCGTGTCTCTGTTTGTGTGTGACTGCGGTTGTCTCTTCTCTGTCTTTCTCTCTCAGTGTCTAACTCTCTCTCTCACTTTCGCTGCTTCTCTGTGTCTTTGTCTCTGTGTCTTCCTCTCTGTGTCTCTGTCCCTATGTTTCACTCTCTCTCTCTCTCTCTCTCCGTAGTTGTGTGAGAGTGTTTAGCTAATGCTGACCTGGGCAATGAACTGAGTCGGGCTTTATGCTGACTGCGTGGTATAATTTGGGAGCTGTTGGAGCATGTGCAGTGGTGTGATGGGCGTTTGAAGAAGGTATCACTCAATATTGACACAGTTTCTCTCACTCACTAACTGTGTGTCTGTATCTCTTTCAAGATCTGCTGAACTGTGTTTCCTTCTCTCTCTAAATCTCTGTGTATCCATTTCTCTTTTCCTTTGTGTGTGTTTGTGTCTTTTCTGTCTGTCCACCTCTCTCTCCCCTTCTTCACTCTCTCTCTCTCTGTCTCTCTCACACACACTCTCTCTCACTTTCTCTGTATGTGTGTCTCTCTTGCTCGCTAACTGTGTTTGTTTCTTTCTGTCTGTGCGTGGATTGTTGTGTGTATGTTCTTCGGTGTCTTTCTCTGAGAGTCTGTATGTGTCAGTGTTTGTGAGTCTGTCTCTCTGTGTGTGTTTCTGTATGTGTCTGTGCGCGTGTGTCTGTATTTGTGTGTGTGACTGCTGTTGTCTCTCTGTCTCTCTCTCTCAGTTTCTAACTCACTCACTCTCTCGCTCATCCTGATATCGTCAGGATGTTGTTTGTCAGTGGAGCCGGAACGTTCAACCAGTTCACCCCCACCTTGCATCCACCACCTCGGGATCGGCCGCCAGCTGCACCTCGTGTATCCGCTGGTTGACCTGTGAGTGCCGTACATGTCAGACAGAGACAGGCGATTGCAGAGACCGCACACATTCCACGCTATGCCCGGTCTCTCTTCTCTGCGGAACTCGCAGTCCATGATCTTGCAATGTGCTTCCGATCAGATGGGCGCTATACACATTTGAATTGTGTTGCTGTACATAAGTCTGTTATTGATGGTCCTCAAAAGAAAACTTCCTACACATTAAGACACTGTCAATAGGTCTTCTAATCAGGATCCGATGATCCATTTGCACGGATATATAGTTTAGGATTGCATTCCCTTTGATCGGTACACTGCTCAGTGGTGTCACTTCCCTGATGTAGTTACAATTCAGTTTCCCATATTTTCGTCAAGATGTGAACACTAAACTCGGATTTGAATCATTTGGTGGAAAAATGAATGACTTTATAATTAGAGCTTGAAACATCGCAAAGATTATTATTATTATTCTGATTCCAACAAAGGCAAGGAGTATTATTGTTATATCTAGTGTTTAGTGACACTCAGTCGGAAACAAAGAAACTAAGTAAAAATGCTGCTTCATCTTTAATTTGCATCACTGTAGTGCTTTGAAGATACTGAAGCTATGTGTCTCAAAGATGTGAAGAGCTTTGGGCACCTCGAGAACCTGATAAGGCGCTAAATCCAATGCAAATAATGCTAACGTTCTATTACGAAATATCCAATAAGAGGAAGTAACAACAAATAAACATCTGAATTTATTAAGCTTAGAAGTAGCAAATTAACATATTGCCTTTTAGAAACAATCATAAATTTGTTTAAATTATGGAAAATTCTGTCAACTTTGAATAATATTTTAAATTTGAAATCGCTTAGTAAATCATTTACGTTTGTAGAATTGTCTCTACTTGATGATTATTTAAAAATCTATTTTGTTCATCGTATCCTGCATTGAAACTTTCAGACAAGTGTGATCACATATAGAAATAAAATACAACATATTCCAAATTTAAATTTCTTGAGCGCCTTTTACTAAGGGATTAGAACCCGATGTAAGAGTGTCGACTGGGATCGGTGATGCTCGACGGCAAAGAGGGTTAGGGTTAGGCTACGTTCGAAGTGGTGCGTCTTGCGGCGTGCACGAAAGGGAAATGATCACATATAGGTTCTATAGATCAGACATTATTCTCAAGCAGAGATTATTTCAGAATCAAAATGTGAAGCAACTTCAATTTATTTACAAATGCCATATGCAGGTGCAATCACATTATTTCGCCCGTTGCTTCTGGCCAGCGGACCATTAGATTAAACGAGTGATTCAATTCACAACTGTTTCTGCAACCTGTGTCAAAATGGCTGAGTGTCCTTTGGCCCTGCAATCAGGGCGTTGTTTCATTTGGAGGCGTGTATTTGAATCACAAGGTTGACACATTTGAAGTAATCGGTGCAAATGGTGTCCTTCCATCTGGACGATCTCCAAGGTGACGTGTTTGGACACGGAATATTGTAACCGAGCCAAAGCGTATCCCGTTCTCACTGCTGATGAAAGCACAAGCAGCCTGACAGATCGGCAGGCAGTCTAGTACAAACCAGTCACTAGGGGCAGGCAGTATTTTCACTCAAATCCTGTTAATCCTGGAAACCAAAGCCACAACTGGGAGGATGCTCCTAGCAGGAAATGTAGCGGAAAAGCTCATCAGAGAGTACTTTCAACGGTTTCATAGTGAAGTACACCAAATAGAGTAGGGCTTAGTAAAATGTGGCTGCAGAACGAGCAGGATTGGCAAATACATATTGCGGGGTATCACATATTTAGAAAGGCTAGAGACAGGATAAAGCGCGTTGGAGTAGCTGTACTTATTGGGGATAGCATCATGGAAAATGGGACATAGCCATAAGTAAGATATGAACAGAATCTCGGTGGATACAGATAAAAGATAAGAAGGGATAAATCACACCAATAGGCGTACTCTACAGACCACCTTGTAGTGGAAGGGAGGTAGATAAAGACACATGCAAGCAAATTAAGGAAAGAGTTCCACTTAATGTCAAACAACCGGGTTGCTCTTCACTGCTAGACAAACAGAGGCGTTTGTCTGTGGGTGGAATAAGAAAGGTTTGCTAAGTTTTCGTCCACCCAGGGTATCGCACCCTGGTCCCCTCGCTCTCTTTCGGAGCGAGTGCTCCAACCACTACGCGACGGGACTCCACCTTCTTGTCTTTCAGGTTTGATCCATGGAGATGCTGTTACACTGAAGGTGGTTTCAGTGATTGAGAAAGAAGTAGGACGTACGAGAAAGGAATACCATCATGATGGAGTGTCAGCTCTGAACAGCTAATATTTATACTGGTTTCGAGAACAACAAGAAACGGATCTAGTTTTTTATGCTTATGTCACCTCTGAACAGCTAATATTTATGCTGGTTTCGAGAACAGCAAGAAACGGATCTAGCTTTTG